CAGCACTCTACTACTACACACACACATTCATTCAGCACTCTACTACACACACACACACATTCATACAGCACTCTACTACACACACACATTCATACAGCACTCTACTACTACACACACACATTCATTCAGCACTCTACTACACACACACACATTCATACAGCACTCTACTGCACACACACACATTCATACGGCACTCTACTACATCTCTACAAAGATAATCTGAAGAAGCGGTATGCCGATGTCCCTCTTTGCTGAGGGAACAGTGAATGTTTGTAGTTTTTGAGATGACTGTTTTTCTGGACTGGAATTAAACAGTGAAATCAAGGAAACAATGTTTTTGTTGCAACATATTTAAGTGGGTAGGAGTTGCACTGTGTAGAAGAAGACACCAAAGTGGAAGTCTGTGCCTCGCTTATTTTTCAAGTTATCATGCTCATAACACAGACGGGTATTTTCAGTTTTCTCTTAGCTCCACTACAGGGGATCAATAAATCATCCTATATAGACTAATCAGTGCTTTAGATCACTTTCATGCATAGATGGGACATATAATGGAGGCATTGTGGGGTTCATTGTCTTGCCCAGAGACACTTCAGCATGTGACTGCTGGTGGAATCACACCCCCAACTCTCCCATTGGAGGATGACCATTTTAACCACTCAGACACAGCCACTCCCTAATTAAGGTGCTTCAGTGCTTATGCATTCACACTCTTAATTAAGCGTGAACCCAAAGTACATGTAAAGTTGTTTCACATAGGTTTAATATTTTCCAGTGTTGTTCACACTCGTTGACGCACTGTTCTAAGTGGCATACTGACTTTTGTGAAAAGGCTCAAGCTAGTGTTAAAACTCATAAATACTGGATTATGATCCATAATCAGAGTAATGCATACGCTCAATCACTGTTTACACAATTCATTTATTTCTTCATATTTTGACATGAACCAGAATAACCAGATTTACGAGTGAAGAGGTGTTTTTTTTAGTGAATCAGACGAAAAATGCAAGTCATCGTGGAAGCTGTATTCCCACTGACTGTTAGATCTTTGCAAACATCTTGTCTGTTCAGAGCAGACTGCACCTTCCTCTGGAAGTATGTTAGAGTGCAAAAGGTGCGTCTTGAGTGTCACAGGTGAATTGTTTAGTGTTTGTGCCTTCTCATCCTTGCACACAATGAATGGAATGTGTCTCAAGGTTGACCTCATTTGGTCATGCCATCAAATCAAGAACAAGATGTCTCCAAGTTTTTGTTTAAAAGTCTTGTATATTTTTGGTAGGAAAATCAAAACCTACCCAGGCAGAGCACTGAGAAGGCTGCCATGTGCCTGCCGTGCTGTAATCATGCCAATACCAAAAACAAGCCAAAATAAATATGTGATTTAGAAATGTACACGTTTTAACAGTAAACGGTGACGCCTCTGTTCATGGTGGCCTTCAGCTGATCACATAGAAACTAAATAACTTTGTGTGGTTCTGAGAGTGCTGATGGATGAACAGATAGACTCCCATCTTTTCATTTGAATTCATTTGAATAGATGGAAGTTGATCCAAGAACATTTGCATATTGTATGTTAGCTGTTCATTGGCCTTATCTATTCGATGCACTAAGTGAATGATAATGGGATTAAAAATGTTCAATTTCAACTTCCCGGCATATTTACCCCATTTCTTTGAATGTCTCAGGGCACCGTTGTTACTATTTGAATGTTATTTTTCAGTTGAATGTGCGATGACGTTTGGTAGCAATAAGGTGCGGGACAAGTATTGCTCAAAAAGTTTCACGTATCCAATGAGAAAATGTGGGCAAACTCAAATCCCCCCAGAACGCAGAGTTCACACATCCAAACTCCCATTCACTTCCACTGTACCTCCGTCTTGTCGAAGCTCCAAAATTCACGGTTGAAACCCGTGCTTTCATGTAAAAATTTGTTTTTCTCTACAAAAAGAAGCTGCAAACTTGTTTACTGATTTTTTTTAAGAGCTTTGTGTGACAAATGCTTTGCTAAAGAGCTCAAACCACACCGAGCGTCCGCCATTTTGAGAACCGAAGAGAGACAACCCATGTCACGTCAAGGGGCCTCCCCCCATTTTTCTTAGAGGCACACTGCTCGCTCCCTCACTATCCATCATTCAGTTCAAACAGTCTTATACTGCCATCCAGTGGCCAAAAAAGGTACTATACACAAAATTAACCAACATTTCTTCTTCTTAAATTTGACAATAATTATAAATTATTGTTAAATTTCAAAATATTTGTTTATCACAATAATTTCTGAAACAATTAATCGCCCAGCACAATTTGTTATCGTGACAGGCCTAACTATGGTGACTATATTTTAAATTATTTCCCAAAATTTTTTAACCCCTCCTTGTAATGTGTACGAAGCTTCGATACTTGTTGAGTTTGTGTAAACGTGGTGTTTGATAGTATTACTTGCAGATGGACAAACTAAACTCTTTGTCTTTCAGAGCAACGTCCCGGACAAGCTGCGATTCACCACCTTCTACTTCTACTTCGGGCTGGTGGTGTGTGAGCTGATCCTCTGCTGCTTCAATGAGAAACCTCCTCTTTTCTCCGACGCTGTCACTGACCCTGTGAGCTCCTCACACTGTTCTTTCGCTGTCCATAAAGCATGTTTGTGTGTCGGTAAACATCATAAACGAACACACTGACGTTGTTTCATTCTGCGAGCAGCTGAGTGTACAGAGTTCAGTAGTTGCTGGCTGCTCGCATCTTTACTAACATTTAAATACCATAATCTGCTTTTCCCCATTTTTTTTAAATGTCTTCTCAGAATCCCTGCCCTGAAACCACAGCGGGGTTTCTTTCCAGCGTGACGTTTTGGTGGTTCACAAGGTGGGCTGCCACTACATCCAACTCTTCTATTGCTATATTTTTTCTCATTAATTCATACTTCAGCAAAGTAATTTCCCTCCTGAGACTATTAAATAATTTTTCAATTCAGTTCACTTAACCCTTCATCTTCCAGGTTGTTGTGCCACATGATTACACAATCCATTCTTACATTGGCCAATTTATGACAAGAAAGTCAAAACTTTTCTCAAGTCACCGGCATAAATGGTGCTAAATAGCTTCATGCTTGATATTTTTTATGCACTGCATAAACAAACCACAAATCATCTGCACTACCTTAAAAGCCGTTTTGGTTTCAATTGGGCATATATTTACAGGGATCAACGTTCTCCCTCGCCACAACAGATTTCTGTCATTTTGGACGTGGCCAGGATGAAGTTACGTCATCTGCAAATATGAAAAGGGGGAAACAAAAACTTCTGTTTTTTGTGTGCAGAGCATAAATGGCGGAGCAGCTTGGTACTAATCAGAATGCTTTTATTGTCATTGCACAAGAAGCACAGCAAAATTTAATTTCAGTACAGCCATACAAAGAAACAAAAAGACAACCAGACAACATAAGACATGGGTAGACGGGTGTCTGAGGGTGCAGCCGTCATGGGAGGCGCTGCCCTTTTTGTTAGATAAGGAAAGAGAACCACGAGGGAAGAGAAGGTTAAAAAAAAAAGTCATATCTCACACTGTGTCCCTAACAGGACATGGTGTGAAGTTGCAAAAAAGAACTCAGCACAAAAAAGCAACATACAGTTGACACAATACCAGCACAGGCTGCCCAAGTGACCGTTGTAGCCACCTGGCGCCTCACATCTAACCTAGGTTACTGCACCGGGGGGCAAAAGGAGGGAGGCCAGCAAAGGTGGTGAGTTTGAGTGGAGTGTGTTTATAGCAGTGCGAGTGAGTGTATGCATGTGTGCGTTTGTAAGTAAGTCTGTGAACACTGTCCCAGATAACCCCCCAGCCATAGTCCATGATAAGTGATGGTGCGTTTATCAGCTGGTCTCGTTGGAGCTCTGACACAGGTCCATAGATGTTCTTGGGGAAGGGAACGGGTAGGGGGAGCAGAGCATCTTGTTCACATAGCATCCAGGAGAATTTTAGATAGTCAGCCTTCCAAGGCCGATACAGAGGAGCCAGATTCAGATTCAGTTGTTTTGGGTCAGGCCAACTCCGTTAATTTACGTCTGCCTTACAGTCTCGCTGGTATGTCTCAATGGCGACTCCAAACAGCCAAATGTGTGGTCAATTCTGCCGAAATGAGCTTGCAACTTCTCCAAGGTAATTTCCTTCCCACCAGCGAGATTCAGGAGCCACAAGTAGCCTGCGATTCTCAGCAAGAATCGCGTCCAGCTAACGGCTCAGCTCACACAGCATTTGAGTCTTGAGTGTTGACAGCGTGGTACATCCCCTCACACAGGCCAGGCAGCTTCACAATGGCCAGAACAGCTGCCAACGTTTTTCAAATTTGTCGATATGCCAGGTAATCACCAACTCCAAAAAGCTGAAATCCTGTTATCATAAATCCAATTATGTATGCATCTTCAACATCCTCGACTGACAATATGAACAGACACACAATCTTACATTGCCCCCAGGAATCCATCGTGTATCCGGCTGCAAGTGGCCCTTGGAGGGCTCTCCTTCACCATGTCTTCTCGTCAAGAAAATTTGATCAGTTGCGTTGAGAGACCAGCTGACCAGATCCATAATTTACAATTCAGAAGTTAAGCAAAGAGAGGCTCCAAAAGGTTAACAAACAGCACAGGACAAAAAGCAGAAGCAGGGCAGATAGGGGAAGGAGCGAGAGGGGGGGAAAGCGTCCACCTTCCCCGAGAGCAGGAAAAGAGACCTAATGACCTTCCTGTTCTTCAGCTGAAGTAGTTCAGACCTCATGCTAGATCTGAACTGCTTGTCCTGTTACAAAAATCTCTGCTTCCCATTCAGAAGTTGAGGAACTGATGGTGGGGGTTTGAGATTTTGTCGACAGGGCGCTCTGTTCTGTTGACAACCCAGGGAGGGGAACCCCTCTGGATAACGGAAGGAGAAACACTGGTACAGTTTAACCTATGAGCCTGTAAGATGTGACTGTGCAGCAGGGTTCGGGTCAGCTGGTTGAAATGTGAACAGGGAGGAATGTTGGTTATCAAACATATTACTGTGAGCATCCTGTGCTACTGATACAAAAACCACTGAGCTGAAAAGACATTCAGAGGGATGTTATTTTGTCTGTGCAGTGACCTCAGCTCTGTAAACGCACAATTCAACCATTGTGTACTCTAAACACGTGTGTGTATTACCAGTAAGAAGTGTTTGTTTCCTGTTTCGATGTGGTGGCCGTGCTGATGAACTCCTGCAACAAACAGCAGCATCTGTATAGATCTGCACCCACACATGCAGGTCTCTGATTGGGTTTACTCCACACTAAAGATGACTGAGGTGTCAGTTTATAGCAACTCTTAAAGGAGATTGCCACATCCTTACTCATATGTTAATTTCATTGTTTCATTAGTTTGATGAACATCATCTTTTCAAAGTCTGGTTTGTAAAAAGTTTGGAAAATGCTTCAAACTAGTTTCTGATTAAATTTAATCCGGAGGTACTTAAAAGAATGAACAGATCTGGGAAATTCAGCCTTTATAGAGACATCTTTTGGGTGACTGAACGCAACAGACTGAAGAAACAAGTACAAATACATATCAGTGGTTTTTCTTGTGTACAGTGAAAACACTTGTTGGCGTACCAGACTGAGTCAAATGTTGTTTCTCCCAGTTTGGCCATGAAAGGTTACAAAATGCCCCTGGAAGCCAAAGACCTGTGGTCCCTGAACCAGCGCGACAGCTCTAAGGTGATGGTGCCTCAACTCCTCAAAGAGTGGGAGAAGGAGCAGGCCAAGGCCAAGAGGTACGTGAGTGGGCTGGGACTACTGACAGCTTGTTGTTTGCTGAAATATGGTGTGTGCTTGCAGTGTAATCAAACTTGCAGAAAATATTCATTTAATATACGTCTACAACTGATTCCCTTTTGGAGCTAACCCAATTAAAAATGGCTGCCACTGCTAATCAACCGTCATCAGCACATAAATGGCTGTAACTCAGTTGATTTGATACATATTGAGTTAAGATTTGATGTAGTTAAGAATGATTTACAGCACATACTCCGTGTTGGAGGAAAACACTCTGAGGTTTACTCAAATGAACCACTCGCACACGGCAGGTGAAGATTTATCTCTGGTACAATTTTGCTTGCAAGGACAGATATTGTAACATTTTACATCAATATGCATTAAATGTATACACCTGAAGCACAATGATCTGCAACATACTGCATTGTCTGCTCGATTTTTATACCCCCTATTAGCTTGACAAGGTTCCAGTGGGTGTCTTCAAAGCCAGCTGTAGTCTCACATGACACTCCTGGCCTTCACAGATACAGTCCACGGGCGTCTCTTCAGGATAAGAGTGTTTTGAGAGACAACTTGGTTGTTTTAAGGAAAAACTAATAATAATATATCCATAACTCCATAACCCCTGACCAAGATCCTCTGACACTTAGCATGACAAGTAGACATGTTGAATGAGATCACTGAAGGCTACGTTCACACTGCAGACAAATGCAACCAATATCAGATTTTTTTTGACAGTCTGAATGCGACTTATCCTATTTTTACTAATCGGACCCAGGTCTTTTTCATATGTGGTTCTGAGTGGGATACATACAGTACAGTATGTGATGTTTTTCAAAGCGACCTTTGTCTGAACGGTCATGTCACATTTCACCTGACTTTACGTCAGTGAGGTCCGCAGATCGATCCAAGTATTCATCACAACGACACCAACCTCGTGCAGTTCAAAGCTTCGACCTCAGCCCGTCTTCAGCTGCAGAACTAAAGTCCAGTTGCTTCCTCTTTGTTCTTTTAATCCTTCATGTCCAGGATGACTGAGAATTGGCATCGACATTTGATACTGACGTTACTGTTGGACCGTATCGCTACTAACGTGATGGGATTGATACTTGTTGCGTCACGTTTTCTTCTGTGCATTTGGGTCGCCTCAGAACTGTAAACAGTTCACACTGGAGTTTGTCGGAGGTCGCATTTTAATGTTAATGTGAACGACCACGCTAAAAAAATCAGATCCGAGTAAGAAATGTGAGCATTACGATCTGCAGCGTGAACGTAGCCCTTCAAGGTTTGACTTTATTCTGTAAATGGCTCTGCAGACATGTTTGTTTATTTTTCAGTTTCATTCTTGTCAGAGTTTAAAGATCTGATAAATACATCCAGAGTGAACTGGTTTTAGTTTAACCTAAGCTGATCGGAGTATTGTTTCCTCATTGTGGGGCCAAATAAGTGAGGATGCTGTCTTTCAGGGGCCATAGCTCTGTGTGTGGGCGTTGGTGCGGGGATTCCCCTCAGGGTGTTGTCGCTTTCTGCACAGCTGAAACTAGGAGCACACTTAAAAACCAAAAAAGTCCATGCTCAATAATCCAGGTATACAATCCAACAATTTTCAGAAGGAGCACACTTCATTACCTTTCAGCAGGATAAATACTGAAGCTGCTTCCTCTACTACTGTAACTAATTCAAAGAGCAAATACACGCAGGCAAATTTAATGAAAAATAATCTTTATGTAAATAAAGTCCTGAAATAATCTGGATTTTTAGAGGGGATGTGTTTATTGTAAACTTGCTGTTGTTCTACCCCCTGTGTGACTTTTTGTTTTTATGCAAAAGTCTTTTTTTTTATTTTTATCCTGAAATTCCCTCTGCAGATTAAACTTTTCTAATATCCGTTTGTGTGTTTTCAGTGTTCTGGTCTAACCACAGCAGAGTTTCAGGGTGTATTTTTTCATTTCAGGGAGAAAAACAAACGTGTTTGACAAGTTTTCTGAACTCTGGCCTCCATCAGACTGTTTCCTCTCAGTGCTGCAGCCTTCCTGTCACTTTCACTCTGCTTCTCTGCAAAATGGGTTGTGGAAACTTCTGATGTTCCAGTGGGTTGCAAAAGTCTTCACCCCGCTGATAGTCTTGCTTCAAGCTTGGTGCATGTAGCCACTGGACTTTTGGTCCATTCTTCATGACAGAACTGCTGCAGCTCCTTTAGGTTGGACGTGTTCTGCTTGTGTTGGACTGAGGACAGGGCTTTACTGGACCATTCCAGGAGATTTAGCAGGTTCTCTTAAACCAGTAGCGTGTTGCATCAGTGGTGCGTTTAAAGCTGCAAGGTGAACCTAGTGCTACTAGGTTCACCTCCTAGTGTCCATTATCTGGAAATACATATATATTTATGTATAATACAGATTAATCTCTGCAGAACTGCCTAGCTCTATCAGGGTTATCTTTTGGCTGTCAGTTCTTATTTTCTTACTGCCTGAGGTTCTTGAGAAAGATAAACATTTCCAGTAAAACAAGTGTCACCACAGACACTCAGAACATTTAACGAAGCATCTTTTTTGTTTCCCCAAACATCCAAATCCTTTACTCCACAGCGAGTTGAATCTCTCCAACCAGGCCGTGTACGCCAAGCTCCCACCGTCAACCACCAACCACACTGCAGGAGGAGGCGGACCACCGGATGAAAGCAGTCCAGAGGAAATAGAGGTGCTGCTGTCCAGTCAGAAGGCCGCTCTCCACCAGCCGTCCTTCCTGCGTGCACTCATCAAAGCCTTCGGCCCCTACTTTCTAATTGGCTCAGCCTTCAAACTCCTGCAGGATGTCATCACCTTTGTCAACCCCCAGCTGCTCAGGTGAAGCGTTTACTTCCTCCTCTCTTTGCTGCAATACGTTAGCAAACAGGATGCATTGTTCCAGTGCGGTGAAGTCTTTCTACATGTTGTATTTGTGTTTGCATCTTACTTTGCTTCATCCAAATTAGGGACACTGCCTTTATTTAAAATGTATGCCGTCTTTGTTCAGGATGTAAATTTGTTTCCTCTTTGTATTTCAACGAGCTGAAAGAGTGAAGAGTTGAAAGTATGATGCAAATAAACCTTCTGTGAAGGGCTTATCTCGGTATTGGCAAGAGATAAGGTAGATAAGGTAATGAGTATTAGTGTTTTCCATGGAAAATGTGCCGGTGGGATTGAGAAGGTCCGAGAAGTATTTCTTCCACCTCCCGACGACATCGCTGGTTAAGGTCAACAACACCCCACCTTCACTGAAAACAGTGTTCGTGAAGAGCTGCTCCTCCTCAGCTGCCTGATGGTTTGCCAGAATCTCCTCTGAGCCGACCAAGAGTTTCTTTCCAAGGCCTCACTGAAGTCTGAGTTTTTGCCTCTTGAACAGCCAAGGCTGTGGCTCACTTGGTCCTCCAGTAGCTCTGCTGCCTCCGGAGTCCTACCAGCCAATAAGGCCCGCTAGGACGCCTTCTTCAGCTTGACAGCCTCCCTAACCCATGGTGTCCACCACCGAGTATGAGGATGGCCACCGCGAGAAGCACTGACATCTTTGTGGTAGAGTTGCATTCAGGCCTAAAAGATATGATCCGGCCCGGCTCCAGCCCGTAGCCATTTTATTCAAACCCAACCTGATCTGATCAAATTAACTGTAATTACAAGCCTGAACCAACCCC